GGATCGTACGTGTAGAGCCATGTTTCATCCCCTGTCATAATTCGCTACAGAAAAGCTTCAGAGTCCTTATCCCACTTGTTCAAAATTTCCATTGCAAAATCTACCCTTGTTTGCTGTTGATCTGGGGCTAAACGGAAAGCTCGCTTAGCCCCAAACTCTCCACCAGAAGTGTGTGTGCAGAACCCATAGAGATGTGTCTGCTACTTCTTTTCCCATCCGAGTTTCACCATGAATTTAATGTTTGCCCTGGCCTCGATTTTAGTAGATTCTATGTTGCTTGAATGGTGCCTGACTTCCAACTGGCGTTATTACCTGCATTTAAGGGTTCATGTCTGAACACGTTTTAATACGGTGGTACAAGAATGTTCAGGGGAATTGAGATCGAAATCCTTCCATATGCTTTTTAGTTATAGACCTTTTTCACAAACTTTTTGAATCCCCCTCGTAATATAAATAATAATAATGATAATATTGGTAATAATGATGATAATAATAACAAGTGATCGTAAATAATAATAACAATTACAATAATGATATTAAAAGTAATGTTACTACTACTACCTATAATAATGATGATAGTAAAGGTAATAGTAATGGTAATAATGATAATAGCAAAAGACGTCCTTTTAATCAATTCAGTGTCACATATATTAGGGATAGGGGGGGCGAGAGAGAGAGAGAGAGAGAGAGAGAGAGAGAGGGGGGGGAGAGACTTACTCGCTCAAAGTCACTTCAAGGTCAAGCATAAGAATAAACTTACTCGTCTCAAACAGCCTAGCCATCCCAGGTGACAATCTCACCCAAGCGAGACCTGGGATTATACTATAGTTTAAAATAATATTATTTGTCATTGTGGTGATAATGATAACATTAAAAGTGTTAGTGTTAATACAAACAGGAATATATATATATAAATGAATAAATATATATATATATAATAAAAATGAGAATGCCGTTAATGCTAATAAAGAGTAGATAGTAATGACAAATAGAATAGTATTAATATTACTAGTGACAAATAGTAACTATTATAAAAATTATAACTGCAGTAATGGTAATGCTAACGACAATAGCAACAGTAATGAGAACAGGAGCACCAATAATAAAAGGGATAATTACAATAACAACCTTAATAATAAGTAAAAAATGTAAATAACAAATCACCAACGCCGTTCCCCTCACCATCCAGTTCTTAGCCAGTGGTTTTCATCCTAAAGGGCAACTTGGCGGTTAAGAGAAATGATAGATCTGGCTTAGCGAATTAATAGTTTCCTTTTAATAGTTCCTGGTGTCTTCGTGAGGGAGAAGAGTTTGCTTTTAAACCACAAAGAGAGTTTAAAACCCGATGGAGATACGTGTTGATATCTCTATCGGTAAATAAGGCTTTATAGTCGTTTGATATTGTTAGGTCTTAGTGGCAGGGATTGTAGGTGCATTTACATTCATTATCTCCGGAAATGTGCAAGCCTCTAGGAAAACTGTGTCTCCATTGCAACACGTTATGAGAGGTTTTGGAGGTAATTATATAAGATGATTCAAAGAGGCATTGTTGGCCGTTTTAGTGAGGGAAATACCCGTATAATGAGGGAAATACCCGTGTACCTTTATAGAGCAGCGGGGGAGGGGCGAGGTGCGTCACTTGATTTAAAAAATAAGTTTTTTTTTCTACGCTGTTATTTATTTAGACTGGCAATTCTAGGGAGAAAGAGATGCGTGTGTGCGTGTGTGTTTGTGTGTATGTATATATTCTCTCTCTCTCTCTATATATATATATATGTGTGTGTGTGTGTGTGTGTGTGTGTGTATACGAGCATGTATACCTAATACACATTATACACATTATTATATGTATATATATGTATGTATGTATGCATATATATATATACGTATATGTATGTGTGTGTGTTTACACCACACCATAACATCAACTTATATTTTACCAATTTTACGTATAGTTTATTACCATCCCACTTGCCCATTAAGAGAGCGAACCTCCTCTTTATATCACCATTAACTTTAACTGTTAACTGACCATATACCCTTTAAGGGGTATATGGTATATGATATCTTAAGAATAACTTGTAACGAACCGGATTCCATTAAAGCCTCGTCCTTTCTTGGAGTAAATAGATGATAGAAATAAATGAACTAAATAGATAATTTAAATAAGTAGGTATATATATAATAGAAATAGATAGATAGATAGTAGTATTGAATAAATAAAATGGATAAATAATAGAAATAAAAAATAGATAGTAGAAATAGATGAATCGATAGATAAGATAGATAAATAAATAGACAATATAAAGAAATAAATTAAATAAAAGAAATAATGAAAAAAGGTAACTTATGTGCCGATCGTCAGAGGGAAAAACTCGGAGAAAAAAATACAAATTTGGTGCAACTGAAACCTAAAACAATTTTTTTTTTTTTTTCTTTTAGTCAGAAGAGATATTCAGTCTAAAGTAGGAAGATGTCCGGGCTGGGTGATGGCGGTGGTGGGGGTGGGGAGGGGGAGGGGGAGAGGGAGGGGTTAGAAGCAGACAAACTGGTGAGGGGGGGGGGAGGTTACGAGTATAAAAACTACCGCTTTACATGAACGCAGATGACCTGTGAATGTGGCCTTTCAAGGAAATATGGTATAGTTCATATATTCATATGGTATTTGTATAACGGATATCAAATAATTGGAAGTGAAATTCTAATAAATGATAAAAAAGATAACATCGAGAATGAGAGAGAGAGAGAGAGAGAGTAAGTTAGTGAGTGAGAGAGAGAAAGAGAGAGAGTGAGAGAGACACAACACATAAATAAACAAAACAAGTAAATAAAATAAAACAACGCGACATAGTTCAATAAACTGCAGACTAAATATGACAAAAAGATAATAAGTAGCTATAAACAAACCAACGAAATGAAGAAAAAAAAAAAAAATAAATAAAAAGACAAATGACACAAAAAAAACAAACAAACCAGACAAATAAACAAGGAAATGAAATGCAGACCAAAATCAACGGCGAGAAACTCAACCACCAACAGGTTTGATGATCTTCTTGGACTGGTCTCGCTCTCGGCATCTTAGTAGGAAGGACTTGGGTCTGGCAGCACCTGAGCGTAAAGTAAATCCTTCCTATGCTAGGGGAGAGATCTGTTGAGATGGGTGATGCGAATATTAGTTTTAGTAGTAGTTTGTACACACACACACAACCAAACACATATACACCTACACACACACACACACACAGACGCACGCACAACCAAACGCATATACACCTACACACACACACAACCAAACACATATACACCTACACACACACACACACACACACAGACGCACGCACAACCAAACGCATATACACCTACACACACAAACACACACACAAACCAAACGCATATACACCTACACACACACACACACACAACCAAACGCATATACACCTACACACACACACACACACACACACACACACATCAAACACATATACACCTACACACACACCCATATATATTTATGTATTTATTTATTTATATACATTATGCAAGACATGCTCAGGAGCATTAAGAAAAAAAAACAGCAGTGGGCGTTTCCCACATGTCGGAGACCGACTGTCACGTGGACAAAGAAGGTAAAGA